AGGCCCATGGTCAATTACGAAGAGTCCAAAAGTATAAGATAGTTAAACTTGGGGTAGTGTTTGAGAAGTCTACTTGGCTGATGACTCAACACCTTAGGCCACGGTACATCCAAGCTCACTTGGAGGGTAGGACCTTTAGTCAAGTCCTAGTGGACAATGGAGGCCGTCAAAATTCTGCCCATTGAAATGATAAAAACTCAAAAAGGGAGAAAATTTCATAATCTTTACCAATCTGACAGTAAGCAACTTCACGAGTGGAGTCAACAACACCAACAATGTCTTGCCAATCGAATTGGTCATACGAAGTAAGACCAATGTGACACAATTTTTTTTCATGGACACAACTTCCACGTACAATGACCTTCTATACCGAGATTGGATCCACTTGAATTAGTGCATACTCTCCACGAATTGGTTAATTATGGAAGTATACCCTAGTGACTTCAAAAAAATAGTTCGTAAAGGCCTGCATTGCTAGGATAAGGATATACCTAGCAGGAAAAAGAGAGGCATCAATGCACGTGACTAACACCCACTAAGGCAACATCAACATGGACCTCATAACATTTCATTGAATTTAACGAAATAGGTGCAGCCTCGGCCAAGCTTGACGACTTGATCAAGGTCCAAGGTCCGTTACTTGAAGTTAATCTTGGAGGGTTGGAAGAAAATAGGATTAAGTTCATCACTAAGTTGGTCAAGCCAAACTTCCAACCATGGCCCATACAGCTACTTAAGGAATAACGACACTGCTTCGCATGGAGTTATGAGGAGATGCTAGGGCTAAACATTGACTACTTATCAAGAAAAGCTATAGGCCGGTTAAGCAAGCTTCTAGCCTAATGTCCAACATTGGTTAAGGAGGAGATTGAATGACTCCTGCAAGCCAAGAGTATTCAGGTGGCATGATACATTGAGTGGGTATCGAATATTGTGCTCATGAAGAAGAAAAAAGGCAAGATTAAAGTGTGTTGTGATTACCAGAATCTTAATGCAGCCACCCCCGAAAGATGAGTATTTCATGTCGATGGCTCAACAACTGGTGGATGTTGCAACCATGAACATTATCATGTCGTTCATGGGCAAGAACACAAGTTATCATCATTTTCATTGCCAAAGAAAACTAACACAAGATCGTGTTTCGATGCCCTTGATCGATAGGGACATTCAAATGAAGGGTCATGCTATTCCAACTGAAGACTATGGTTGCAACTTACTAGAAAACCATGAATACGATCTTCCATGAAATGATTAGCAAAATCATTGAAGTATACAATTAGCATCATATTTGTAATTGACTAATTTTTGAAGTCTTTTTGTAAATCTCAACCTATTTTATGGTCATGATACTACAAAGTTGAGGATTAAAAAGCGTCAATAGAAGGGAGGAGATCATGCTTCAAGCAATATCAAGGGACTCTTCATACGCACCTTCTTGATTAGGATAAAGGTACTAGTTTTATAGACCTAAGGACCCTTGTTTTGATTTAATAGACTTAGGATGATTAGAGTTAGATTAATCTGAGTATGGATCCTAGGGTTTTTAAAAAAAGGTTTTTATAAACCTTGTTGTCTTTTGAAAACATAATTTGAGCCATAATCGGACCCTACTTAATCAACACCCTTAAGTGCTCAAGATGACAAGTTTGTTGCTAGGTTTAAGGCTTAAAAAAATGGTACGGACGCCCTATCTTCTCTACCCTTCGTCAGAGCGGTCTTTGAACACTTAGAGATAAAATTGGCAAAGGCTAAATGAGTGGGTAATGGAGACCGCTCTTAGGTCACTCAAGCAGTCTCTGCTCTATTGTTATGGTTTGAATCCTTTTTTCATTCCAGTAGCCACCACTCTCCCATCATTCTTCCACTACTCAAGAGGTAGTTTGTGAATTTATGTTATCTTGGGTCCCAAGACAAACCCTCTTTTGAGCCTAACCCACTTGTTAATTGTGAATACCGAGGATCTTGGTGGAGAAAATTGTTCGAGGCCTAAAAAAAACGTGTGGCAGGGAATTCAAGTGAAGCTATCCATAACGTCGAAGAGGGAGTTTTAGTGAAGAGGTTTATTGAAGGAAAGGAGTGTCTAACCATGGTATTAGTTTAATTATAAGACTTGAATACTTATAAATTGACTTTAGGATAGTGCATTAGACTATGGTGAACCCCGAGTGGTTCTCCGCAGTTTTTTCCGAGAAAGGTTTCTACGTCAACAAATTGCGTTATTTATTATTTTTATCATACACATTTCCAATTTGATGCATACATGGGCACTATGTGTTTAGTGTTATGAGATTGAGTGTTAATTGATAAAACTAACAAATTCATTACACCAATCTTTATAGGTTTCACAGGTTGTTCTTGATTAACGGGGCTCTCAATTTTTAATTGATTAATTGATTTTTTAGAAAAAGGTAATTGTGCTAGAATTAGGTTATAATTTATTGTTTGTTCAAGCGAATCAAAATTAACCTATTCACCCCCTAGGGAGTGTCTAGTATCTCACATGTTTAATTGTGAAGGACGATCCATTCCGTATAAGGTCAATGTTTATACTTGCAATTGGTATCAGAGGGGGTCTCCTTATAGGATAAGGTTCGGCACTTCGTAGTCACACATTGCATATTAGCTAACAGTACCTAGTTTTCCTCCTTGAGATCTATTATTACTACTAGTGAGTCTCTAATGGAGCCTCAAAAGGAAGGGGGTTCAGTAGCATGACAACTATTTTTTGACTAGATGAGTTATACATATTGAAGGCTTGAGTGAGAGCTTTTCTTAAATTAGTAGATGAATGTGTATGGTTGTACGTGCTAGAGGGTTGGAGCCCTTTGACGGCCATTACCCTTGCAGAAGTGGTGATCTGAACGTTGAACTAAAATCCCACAATACTTGGACAAAAGTCGAGTATGATTTGTCAAGGTGAAACATGAAAGGGTTGAATATGATATTCAATGTTGTGACACCGAACGAGTTCTGAAGGATAGCTACTTGCGAAACCTCCAAAGAAGCATGGGACATCTTGCAAGTTTCCCACAAAATGACTCAAGTGGTGAAGATGTCTCACCTCCAAAGGTACAACTCTCAGTTCAAGACTTTGATGATGCAAGAAGATGAAAGCTCTACTGATTTCTATGCTAAACTGAGTGATATTGTTAGCTCATCCTTTGTATTAGGTACCAAGTATGTTGACAGATCAATTAAGTGGAAAATATTGAGATTGCTTGATCCTCAAAAAGTACACTTGAATGTATGTGATCAAGAAGTAATAATTTTTTGGTAAGTCCAAGGTGGAATCATAGGGATTAAAGGGAATTTAGGAATAAGGTAAAGTAATAAGAAAGATTTTTGAAAAAGTTGAATTGGTTGAAGACTAACTGCAAATTAAAATTTAAAGGAAATAATCTATTGCAAAAACAACCATTTTGCTTTGAGATTTGGATATGTTCATGTTCATTGCATAATTATATTTATGCAATTTATAATAATTCAGTTGCTTTCCAACATTAGTGTAGTCAATCGGAAGATATAACTTTGAAACAGAATTGCTTTGATTGATATGAAAATAGAATTTTAAGAACTAATTTTATAAAACTAGCAAAGAATTATAAGCATTGAATATACCAAGAACACAATCTTGTTAATAAATAACCAAACAATTGTATAGAGTATAAAAATTTGCTAAAATATCCAATCAATCTTAGTAAAATAAAGTTTTAACATTAAGAATAAACTAATAATTACATATCCAAATAAACAATTACAAATCCATAACCCTAGGCTAAAGAGTACAAAGGGAACTAACTACTCATTGGCCATGGGTAGATCTCATAAAAAAATAAAGAAAGATGTAGAATATGAGATCAAGAATTCCCCCATCTCCACAAAAAGAGCCTATATTTATGCTAGGGTTGGCCGTGGAACAAATCCTTGCCAAAAAGGATTAAAATTATGTCAAAACTCGTGCATCAAATCTTTGAGGTGTGTCCCCACTCGGGTACCATATATGACCAAACTTCAAGCTCTATTTTTACATAGTTAGAGGCCAATTCACAAAATTTTCATGAAATATACTTTGGTAACTCTTTAAGTCTTCTTTTCAATGCCATAAAAATCAGGTCAATTGGATATTGGGGAAAAATTATGACTAAAATATTGAAGATGTGTCAAAACTTTATCTTCTAGAATCCTTATCCAAACCTTACCTTATAGAATTCTTTCTTAATCCAATTCTAAATGAGTTTCTTATTAATTTGAACTTCCATAAGGATTAAATTGTTGTCTTATCTTCAAATCTTTATCTTCTAAAATTCGACCACTCAATCCTTTTCAAATATCTCCTTCTCAATTATAACCCTTCCTCTATTGTTTGCTTTATTTTCCTTATCTATTATTACTTTAAATTAACCAAATTATCTGCAAAATAAATCAAACAACTAAAACAGGTGTCAAGCTAGAAAATAAAAGAATCTAATACATTTTATCTCAAATAATATATAATTAATCAATCATTAAATATAATAAAATAGTAGCTTTGATGATTAATTAGAGATCTCTGCTTGAGAGATTTTATATTGAGGCTATCTAGAGAGATTTTATGCTAATGTGATGGCTTTAGAAACGATCATCAATTTGAAGGAGGTTTCAATGGAAGACCTAGTTGGGTCCATTTTGACATTTGAGGTGAATCTCCTATTGCCCAAAAAATCGAAGGACATTACTTTGGCCTCAAACAAAGAAGAAGGAGATAAATTTGAATAATTCCACTTAGGAGAAGAGGGCATAGCTTATCTTGCAAAAAAATTCAAAAAATACTTTAAGACTAGTAGTGTCGAGTCCTCTAGGTTGAAGGGTAGGTTGAGTAGACCAAAAACTCCTAAGCAAGGAAGGGAGAAAGGGGAAAAACTTATCAGCAAGAGGTTGAGAAGAAAGGGTAAGGATTCCAATGCTATGAGTGTCAAGGCTCTGGAGAAATGGATGTGGAATGTCCTAGTGCTATGAATAAGGACATGTCAAAAAAAGATCTATGAAAACCAAGTGGAGTGATAGTATTAGAGAATCCACATTTGATGAAGATTCTTCCTCTCTAGAAGATGAGGAAAAATTTACAGCTTTCATAGGCTCACATTCTTATCCCCTTAGAGAAACTTCAAGAAGTGTAGTTGAAGAAGAAGGTCTAAGTTCGGCCATAGAAGTAGATGACTTAGTTGTTGAAGTCACCTCAAGAAAGGATGACATGGGTAGCGTTGAGGATCTACAAGATGCATTTGATCAATTAGACCCTTCATATGGACTCAGTGGATTCCAACACCCAGATTTGTGGGCTTGTTGAAGAAAATATGACTTTGAAGTACAAATTTATCTTCCTTGAGAGAGTGTCACGAGTTGATTGAGACAAAGAAGAGTCCTAAGTCAAAATTGATAAAATTAGATAAGGACCTTCATGAATGACAATAACTCTCAAAAATACATTCCCCAGGATCCGAGAAGCTTGATAGAATGTTGTCTATGGGAAAGAGTGTTGGTGAGAAATGGGGTTTAGGCTTTACACATGAAAACAACACCTCCACTTCTTCCAAGACCGTGTTTGTGAAGGGTAATCAAGAGCATACTTAGAGAAACCAATTATTAAGGAAATCCAAACCAAATAATTTGTGTAATTTACACTTGTGGAAAGCATAGTCAATATAGCTCAGATTGCATTAACAATAGGAAAGTCTTGAACAAGAAGCTCATTTCTCTAGCTAGCAAATCCAAAGCCTTGAATAGTCAGTTCATGCAACTTACAAGGCAAATGAAGTGCTCATGTGAGTCTAAGTCAAACATTACATCATCCAAAAAGGGCTCACAAGTTAGAGTGTATATGGTTCCTTCTACTCCAAAGGTCAAAGTTGGCTTATCTACATTTGAATGGAATAGAGTAAATCCTATACTCATTCCCCAACCAAACCCAAGAAGTTGGAAGGGAAATCAAGTTTGGTGAGTTGAGAGGACTTAGAGAGGCTCACTGTCTCAATCAAATTGGAAGTTATGAATGCTACCAAAGAAGTTGAGCCACCTAAGAAGTAGGTGAGGTGAGAGTATAGTCTTAGGTGCACTATTCATGCATTGCATCAAACACCCTGGGGTCATATATTGTAAGTATTTTTATTTTGTTTATTTTTCTTTGTTTTTATAAATGAAAAACCCAAAAAATAATTGAAAATTAGAAATTTAAAAAAAAAAATTGATGTCTAGTTGGACATTCATTTTAGTATTTATTGTAATTTCTTTGTTTTCCTTGTAAAGTGAATTTTGATGCATATTTTTCTATTGTTATGTTATTAAGTAAATTATAGCAACATTAGAAAATAAAATGGTAAAAATATTTTCTTTTATTTATTTTTCATTGCTTAACATGGTAATCACACTTTGATTTGATTTATAGCTTATTCATCATTAATTCAAAGTTGACTGTATTACTATGAGAAATATTAGGGAATAAAGAACTTGCTGGTTATAAGAGTTGGTGCTTTATCCTCGAACCAATTCTCTTTTGCCCTAGCGTGCTTGAATTATGTTATATTTGTGAAAATTCAAAAAACCAAGTACAAGCCAACCATTCATTTTCATACTTAGGAGTCTAGATAGCTTGATAGATTAATAGCCTTACATGACTCTAAGAGTTAATCACACGACTAGAGGTTAGTGAAACCCCAAATCCCTTAAAAGATGTCAACAAGATTATTGTGATAAAAGAGTCCAATATGGCCATATTTAAAAATGTGAGGCATTAAATAAATGGCTCATATCAATTTCACTTGAATTGTTGAGAGTACTATATGCTTAATGTCATTGCTCACTTGTAAAGCTCAAAGAGTTGTGCTACACACGCTTAGAAGCATGACATTTAAAGTACATAATTCAGAATCCTTCTAATTGAAGTCATATGAGTAGAAGATGTAAAAATTAGGGGGGTGTTTAAAAAACAAATAGAAAAGATATATTTAGAACACTCACAAATTGGTCATGTTTTCACTAAGATGATGAATTATGAATTCATGTAGAGTTGTATTAAACAATTACTCTAAATGGATTCCTAATAGTGTTGAGGTTTGGTTTCACACATGCCATATTTGAATTAACAAAAAATGAAAAATTTAAACACGTGTAAATGAAATTGAACTAAATGAGAGGACAATGTTCTAGAATACATGAAGATTAAATTCTACATTCATTAATATGCCTTAGAGTAATATTCTTGATGTTGAAATAGGGATGGATATATTATGTTGAAATAGGGATGGATATGTTTTATTGAAAATATGTATGATTTTCATGATTAATGATATTTTTCATTTAATTGTCAAAATTTAAAATTGCATTACGTTTTGATCCTTATTTCATCCATGCAAACGCATATAGCTGCATTTAGGTTGTACATACACTCATGAATGTTTTTTAGGCTTGAAGGATGGTTTGGAGGAGTTTATGAAGGGTCAGGATGGTTCGTGGCAGGACCAAAGTTGATCTATCAATTCAACAAAAAAGCTTCAAGGACCGCTCAAGCGACCTTGACACCATATAAGTTGGCGCCCTAGGGTTTAAAAGCTCAGATATATGAACCTTTTGCATTCCCAACACCTCTACTTGCATTCCAACCCCCCCCCCCAAAAAAAAAGGCCCAAACCTTTATTCCCAAATATTGTCAAACACTTTCTACATGATTTCCAAGGTTAATTCACTTCTTGATTTGCAAGATTCACATTCATGAGACCAAGATTTCTTGAATTTTTTGAAGAGACGCCTCTACATAGAGAGAAAAGGGATACAAGTGAGGAATACATGAGGAAGTCAAGGTTGAGTTTTATGAGAAAACTTGATTTCAGAATCTGGATTTCACAAAGAGATATAAGTTAGAGTATACACTTAGGCCAGTAATGATTGAGTGAGAGATAAACTTCATTAACGTAATTTCTCATATCCCTACAAACTTTTCCAATCGAGGGTGGACACAACTATTTGAGACCCCTAAGCCTTTGAATGATAGTGTTATGAGAGAGTTCTATACACATATTCATGATGTAGATCCCCAAGTTGACCACTTTGTCACCTACATCTGAGGAATTGAGTTCACATTTTCAGTGGATCTCATAACTACCACTATTGGCCTACCTAGGTTAGAGAATAATTTCCTTAGTGTGAAACTGGTTGATCAATTGCCTCATCTCCATGTTTTGACTATTGAGCTTTATAGTATACCACATCCAAAACACTAGGTCACACATAAATTCTTTCCAAAGATATTGACCCCAGACAATAAAATGTTTGACATTATATCCAACTACAACATCAAACCAAAGGCCCATATTCCATATTTCCTAGTTCTGAGAGCAAACATGCTATATGTCATAAGGACAAGGTTAGATCTTAACCTACCATCGATGATTTTGGGTTTATTCGGTGAGCCTTTGGGGAGGGTAAAGTATCTGATGGCCTACCTTTTGGGTCTCTGATTACTCGAATCTGCATAGGCAAGGGTGTAGTTATGTTGCTTGAGGATAGATTGTAGAAACCCATAAAGCCTCTTAGCAAGAGCTCTTTGAAGCAAAGCAAGGCCCAAGCTAAGTTTATTGTAATAGATATGGAGAGAGGAGATGAGATGGAGGATCTAGATTTTGAGGTTGGACTTCATGCCCACTACTAGTTCCCCAAACTAAATTTAAATTTAGAGGGACAACCAGTTAGTTCTCTCTAGAATTTGTTCCTCCTATGAATTCTTCGTAAAACACAACCAATATTCCCCCAAAACCTCCAAATTTAACATCTCAACCAATACATCTTATACCAAAACAACCAGACAGTGATCCTACACAACCAAATCAACAAAAACAACAAGATACACAACATAAACCAACAAACACACAGCTTACCTATGCTTCTCTATTCAAAAAAACTTTTGTTCATCAACATGTAGAGGAAGAAGTGCAGAAAATTGATAAACCTATTGTCTTCTATGAAGGTGGACCTGTGTTTTATTTTACCACTGAAGAAGTAAAGGAGTCATGCCAATCGTTGTAGTATACTCTCATTGGGAAGTGTTCTTATGGTCAGCCATCCTTGGGTGTTATTAAAGAAGTAATCAGAAACAAATGGAATTGGAAAGGGGATTTTGAAGTTGGATCGTTGGATCAGAGACATGTCCTTATTAGATTTTAGCTGCATGAAGACTACGTTAAAATATGGCTTAAATATGTAACCTTGATAGAAGATTATCTGTTTAGATTTTTTAGATGGTTCTCAGGCTTTGTTCTTGGTATTGAACCCTCAATTGTGCCTATGTGGGTGTCATTACTAGGGTTACCATTGAATTTCTTCAAAAAATTGTATCTGGAGTTGCTAGTGAAGCCAATTGGTAAGGTGTTAGCTTATGACCAATCTATGTTATCCTTATCAAGACCTGGGGTAGCAAGAGTATGCGTCGAAGGGAACATATTAGCAAACAATCCTTCAAGAATTCGGTTAGACATGGGAGACAAGGGAGCAAGATGACAAAAAATAATCTTTGAGAAGTCTAAGAAATTCTGCAAGGTTTGTCAGAAACAAGGCCACGGAGATGAAGATTGCAGGAAGAAGAAAGCTCCAATTCAAAAAGTGGACATAGAAGGAAAGAATCCAGATTTACAAGAATCAGTTTCACATATTAAGGCAGGTGATAAAGGAAAGTCAATACTGATTACTAATCTAGTCAAAGGCAATAGAGGGAAGAATGGAAAGAAGTCGAATATGGAATTAGTAAATCAATCAAACTTGATTCAAAAACCCCAAAAAAGTTTGGAAGCAAAATGCTGGAGCATCCTTAGTAAATTCCCAAAATCCTCTAATTCAATCAATGGTGAATGTAAATTTGGAAGGTTCAAGGCTAGTAGTAGATTACCCTCCTCTGGTAGCAATGCCTATTTTGGAGACAAGAGATCACTCTGGGAAAGACGTTATACCTCCCAGTATTATAGTGCTAGAAAAAAACCAATCTTCTCCTAATTTGCAGGTGGAAAATCCTCCATCAAATATTCATCAAGAGAATCAATCTGCTCCTCATTTGCAGGCAGAGAATCTGCCCTAAAAAATTTATGAATATATTCCCGTTCAACAAAATCAGTAATGCCTATTTAGAAGATGCTGCTTAAAATCAGTTAAGAGATTCTGTTCAAATTCAATTAGAAGATTGTGATAAATGCCAATCAGAAGATGTTGTTCAACGTTAGTTCAACAAGCAACTTTTAGATTCTTTAGGTTCAACTTTTCTGATCGATCATAATTATTCATGTCTTAAAAATTCTAGAACTACACTGG